CACCAGAAGTCAGCAGTGGCACATGCCAGTAAAAGAATCTACATAAGCTGCTGGCGAGTGGACATGGCAGAGTAAGAGGAGTGAAATCATTTTCTTGTAGTGTATGCAGGTTGAACAGCAGCGACATGCCACTAGTCTAAGTGATAAACCACTGTGTAGTCACAGACCTTTGGACCCCACTGTATGTCACTAAAACAACTGTGATGCTCGCGGACAGTGAGTTCTTCAGGGCTCCATGTTCTGACGCCTGACCGTCATCCTGTGTTTCCTCAGAGAGTCCATCAACAGTCTGAAGAGGAAGTACTCTCAGTCCTCAGAGCCCACCGACAGCGACGCTGCCATAGAGAGGACGCTCAACGAGGTGGCCAAGGAGGGATGTCAGTTCCTGTTGGACGAAGTCTTCCTCGACCTCGAGGTGAGGAAGGCTCCTGTGTTCTGAGCTTTATTTACTGTGTGTCCTCAGGGCTGTTTGTTGTATTTGTAGCAAAGTGTTTGTTTTATTTTACAAAACTGTTCTTTTTGTTTTTTTTTGTTTTTTTTTTATAAAATATATGTGAATCAGTTACAGTGATATTTGACAAAGATGTTACCACAGATACCACATGTGGTCATAAATGTGCTCAGTCATCCTGTCATAGGCCTCTTTTCCACTGGTCAGAAAACCCACTAAGACCTGCTAACATCTGGGTTTTGTTGGCAATGGAAAAAGGCCCCCAAAATAAGCTTTAAAAACACACAATGACTAATAGTGATCTAAGAGTCTCACACAGAGGCTCTGACACTTTTAAAGGTGCACCTACAGAAGGATGTATGCTAGTAAATAGGGCTGTGTTTACACCACAGAACTTTTTTATTTAACCAGGTAAATCCCACTCAGGTTAGCCAGGTTGGCCAGGACGACAGCATCACAGGTTCACAGACAGGACAATACAACATCAGACACACAAATAAACATTACTGAAAACCAGGCAACAATGAATAAAGGCTCAAATAAGCTAAGAACAGAGACAGTAAAAGAATCGATCACCATAGAGTTTTTACAACAGGCTGGAGTTCAGTCTCTGATACCGAGTTTGTTGTAGAAACTGTTCCAAGTGGCTACAACAGAAAACAGCTGGGACTGATGGCAGATATGAGTCATGTGATCTAAGGTGATCCACAGAATCAGGACACACAGTAGGACTAACAGACTGATACTCAGATGAAGTAGCATCAGCCTGTAAAAGCTCTTTCAGTTGGTTACTCACAAGTGTTTTAGCAAATTTTAGCCAGAACAGGCTGGAAATAGGCACCTTCACTTTTTTAACAAAAGTGTGACAGAAACTGTTTTCCACACCTGAAGAATCTCATTTGTAACAAGGGAAGGATTATAAATATGTGTGAGTATCTACAGCAACCTTTAAGGAATTAGGATCTAAGCAGCAGGTTTCCTCACATCTAATTTTATTAAGGCTTCACATAGGAAAATGAAGGTGACACTTTGAATAACAGTCACATACTCATAGATATCTGACACATCTACACTGAGAGAACCAGTGGAAGAGTCGAGAAGACTGGAACAAAGTGTTTGCTGACAAAATTCATCATACTGATCCTGTCAGACACTATAGCTGAGCTCTGACTGATGCAGGAGGCAGATCGCTACAGTTTCTGTGAGCAGGTCTCCAGAGTGTTCTGGAGTCATTGACACTGTGTGTGGGAGCACAGAATTAATACTCAGATTTTGCATTTTTAATATAAGCTGTGCATCAATACTGCCTAAAATATAGCCAGTCAAACTCAGCATGTGATAGCTGTAACCCAGGCTTTGTTTCTTTGATGCAGCATGTTAGACAGATTGGACGTGAACCAAGGTTTCAATATAGCCGTTAGCGGCAATCATCAGGGTCAAAGCAGCTCGGGAGCAATTCAGTACCATTTGTATTAATTGGTATTGAATTTGTGCTGAAGCAGGATTTAAGCCATCTGGGGTTTTCGAACACTTGACATTGGTATCCTCACAGAAGGTGACTTACTGGTTGAGCAACTAGGTAACCATGTTCTACACACGCCTTCACACAAGCTGAGGCAATGATGTCCCATGTGCAAGACTGGGGTATTTTTGTCTGTTTCACTTTAAAACACTTAAAACAGTCAAAATGTTGGCATGAAAGTCCTGAAAAAAATCACACATCAATCTACTGGTTTCAGAAGTATCATCAGATATTTTGGTGACTTTGAATCCAACACTGAGCAAAAGAGAAACTGTCTGATTTGTCCGATCCAACACTGTTTAAAGCACGTGACATCTACCTAGAGAATTTCTGTGTCAATGTTGCTAGCATTTGAATTAAGACTTGTGGAGATATATATGTTAATTGATTTTGCATATTTTGAAACATATAAAGTGACAGACTCCTGAATTGACCATATGTTGCAGTGAAGCAGCATTCTCTGCTTGGACCCCCAATAAAAGAGAAAAGTCCATGTAGTTTCTGCCTCATCAATTAAGGAAACTTTGACCCAATCAATTTAAAACAAATCATGTAAGAAGCCTAGGTCACATTAAAATAATGAATCCAGACTTTTTAGTGGTTTCTCCAATCATTCAGACACTGAGTATTAATGTGGAGCACCAGTCAAAATGAGATCACTTAGAGAAGGTTTATGATATCATTGATTCAAAAAACATACACAACATACACAACATTTAACTGCTTTGATGTTGATGTTGCATTGACCAGCATCACCTGAATGAGCTGCTGACCAGGAAGTGGCTGACGGGCTCTCATGCTGTGGACACCATCTGTGTGACGGTGGAGGACTACTTCAACGACTTCAACAAGATCAAGAAACCCTTCAACCAGGTAGGAATGGAGCAGAAACGTTGCCTATCAAAAACAAACCCTTAATATATTCCCGTGAAAGTTGTCATGGCGTCTGGTGGAGCTGACTGACTTTAAATGAATCCAACATGTCGGCCGTGCTGTGTGCAGGAGATGACGAGTGAGGCCTTGCGCAGGGTGGTGGTGGAGTACATTAAAGCAGTGATGCAGAAGAGGATCACCTTTAAAAACGCTGATGAGAGGAGGGAGGGAGCTGAGAGGATGATCAAAGAGGCCGATCAGTTCAAGTTCCTCTTCAGAAAACTGGCTGCTGTGAGTTCACATGTCACTTTTTTCTCTATACTGCAGACACACTGCAGGTAACTAAGTTTAACAGACCTGTCAACCAATAGCAAAGCTGTCCAACACTTGTAGTACACAGAAGCACTCTGTGGAGGCCTGCAGCTGCTGCTGTTGTGCTGCTGTCACTGCTCAGCCAGTGTAGAGCTGGTGTAACAGTTGGTAAAGAGAGGAAACCTGTTCAGGTTGGAGGGGCGTGTCTCACCTTGGCTGATTGTTGTGCGCAGGGTGAAGACACAGACCGTCTTTGCGGTGCCATCGCTGCCATCGCAGAAGTATTTAAGCTGACTGACCCCACACTGCTGTTCCTGGAGGTCACCACTCTGGTGTCCAAGTATCCTGACATCAGGTACACACAGACACACACACACACACACCTGGATGATACTCAACATATGAAGCCATGTGATCAACAGAAAAAAACTATTTAAAGTTCATTCAAACCATTCACTTCTCCCATTAAGCCACGACAGTGGTCCAGCATTCACAGTACCAGAGCCCTAAACTGGCACATCTAAATGAACTGCAGCCATTAATAATGATATTAATTACATTGAATCTTTTAAGTGTCTTGGGTGAGTTTTTACATAACTGTTATTCTCTGCTTTCTGGGGGGGGGGGGGGGTAATCATAGAGCAGGTTGACGCCACATTAGCTAAACGTTGCTAAAGCTTTTATGTCATCCTGCTCTCTGTAGGGAGGAGCACATCCAGGCGCTGCTGGCGGTGCGTGGTGATGCCAGCAGGGAAATGCGCCAAATGATCATCGGAACTCTCAGCGAGAACAAAGTGTCCTATTCTGGTGTAACGCAGCCCATCTTCAAAGACATCACCGTTCCCACCATCACCATGACAACCATGACTACCATGACCTCCATGGCAACTGCAAAGCTGCTCAAATAAAGCCAGTCGCCAAGACACCATTTCCACCTTCAGCACCTTCAAACACAATAACATAAACAAAATTCTTTTTCCACACACTATTAATTGTTTAACAACCCTGCTGTGTTTCTGTCCCCAGTCTTTATTTTTTCTATTTTCATCCTGATCCCATGTCTGCTTCACCACAATAATAAAACTGTAGTTGTATAAATGGACTGTGGTCTGGCTACTTATTACAGCTTTACAGGAGCTGGTTCCCTGCTTTTTGTTCCTCTCTGTTTTTTATCTTAAACAGCACAAAATACATCACAGTAGGTTATATACTTATATATAATACAACATTGTATATGTTTATCTGAGTTTTAATTGTATTCTTTAATGTCATTATCAAGTAATGCTGTCAAACTAACTGTAAATTGGAGTTTGCAGCAGTCATTCATCAAGATTATAGAGACAGCAGTGAGAAAACTGCAATTTATGTAGACATCATAAATGACGTACAATAATGGTGTTTGTGTATATTTTAATGTGCTGCATCTGTAAATATACAGTTGATAATGAAGTTTGTAGTCTGACTTTATATCACAGCAAAATCGTGACTACACTTCACTGTATCATCAGTATACACTGAAATGTGTAATGACTGTTGCTCAAGCTACTGATCCTGGGTCAGACACATAGGAGCTGTCCATGGGAACTATCGGTGTTATCCTCCTGGAGTGGCAGGGTCCTCATATCTGTTTTAACTTCTTATTTATTTGTCTAATTATTTAATTTGATTTTCTTTAATTAAAACGAATAGTTTTCGCTTTCATCGTCTCCACGTTGATCGGTGTTTCCTGATGAGGGGAAATGAGCGGAAAGTTATTAAGCATACAGTGTTTCCGTTGCGGGTTGTGTCCACTTGGTGGCGGTGATGCGCCTGTGAGCTGTAATAGCCGCCAGTAAACAATCGCAGGGTGAAGAAGAAGAGAAAGAGCGGAGCAGGACGCTGCGTCTGATCTGAGACCCTGCTGACTGCTGAACATGAATAAACCTGTGTAGTTTCTGTCACAGCTTCAGTATCAAACGGTCTCTCAGTCCTACATATCTGCTGAGACCCCGGACAGCCGTGCTTGAAGTGGGTAAGAGTTTGATGGCGCAGCTAATGTGGCTAATGTTGTTTACTGCTAAGCTAACGCTGTGACCAGCTTGTGTTAGATTTGCTAAAACCAACAGCTAACAGCAGCTACCGCCACGAACAATACCATGAGATTATCATCTTCACCGGGAATTACCAGACACCACTGTCTGTTAAAGCTATGCTGTAAATAACCCCCGTTAACGGCGCCGTCCCCGGCTCTGTGTATTTATCAATGTGCGCCAGGTAGCAGCAGCAGCCATTCAGGGTCACAGAGATAAACAAGCTAGCGTCACCCAGGCAGCTGAGGCAGGGTGTACGGAGGTCAGGGTTAGATGGTGGCTGTACAGGTGTCACATTTAATAAGTCTCACATGTTACAAGCGAACAATTAAAGTTGTACTAAGTGATATAAACCAGGACAAAGACCTGGTCCAGGTGCTGTGCATCAGTACTGAGCTCCATCGCAGTTATTGAGGTTGTTGGAGAAGGCTCAGTCCAGCTGGAGATAATGCATGTGATTGCTGGAAGCACTGTGGTAAGACACTGCTGCCACTGTGTGAAGATGTTATTCATCTACATGTATTGGCTCTGAAATACGTGTCATGCACTTAACTAACCAAAAATAATTCATTAACTTAACATGCATGATAATGAGCTTTGGTTTTGTAGATCAGAGTGTATCTGTATTGAGACCAGTGTTAATGCTGTGTACACTGATCTTAATATGATAAATACAGGAGTGAACAGGGTTCCATGGAATTTAAGTCATTACAAAATTAATAAGAATTCATCAATTATATATGACATCATTGAGTTCTGCAGAGTTTGTACTGTACACATACACAGTGACTGACATTTCCCATTCACTTGAATGAGAGTGAGTGTCCAAACTTTTGACTGGTGCTGTCAGTTTTTATAACTTAATGTTTAAAGTGATGCGGTTTATTAATAAGAAAAGTCGTAGCACCCATCTATGAAATGTTCTGTACGGTATCAGGACACTGTCTAATTTAGTTCTTGAATGTCCTCATTGTCCACTTCAGACAGAGGTCCACCTCCTTCCTTCTAGCTGCTGCTGCTGCATCAGACCAGTTCAGACTGACTCGTTGAACCAGAGGCTCCTCTGTGTACCAGCAGCTACAGAGGAGCCTTTGTTAAACACACAACCATGTGCACTTCTGTCTCTGCACATTAAAATGAAACAATCTGAGAAGAGAGCATCACCCTGTGGTTTAACAGCTCACAGACACAAGGAGACGCTGCTCAGCTGTAAAGAGTAGCAAGGAAGAAATGATGCTTTACTTCACTTTATCATGTGTGATCTTACATTTTCTAATTTGTGATTGAATGGTAGTTGCTTATATAGTCAGTTATCATTTCTCCATATTTTTCTAGACCTGATTTTAGCTCTGCTCAATCAATATATTGATCTTTATCATGGTATACTTAATATATGTTAAATGATTTTCTGGAGCTGTTTTGACACTGACCAGTCACATCAGTTATTGTAAAGCTGCTGTATGTGTAACACTAGTCAGCGGCCATCTTTGTTTTTACAGGTTCATCCAGCTTGTTGAAGTTTCTCCCTTCATCCACTCATCATGGTGGACTACTACCAGGTTTTAGGAGTACGGAGGGATGCTTCTGCAGACGACATAAAGAAAGCGTGAGTTCATAAAGTTTTAAAGTTCATATCTCAGCTGTGATGCTCTGCACAGAGATGCTATCACCTCGTCTCCAGAGGCTGAGACTGCCAGCCACACAGTGAATGACTGGCTCTCTGTGTATAATGTTCACCTTCCTACAGAGCTTCATTAACAACAAAACTGCTGAGTGAGCCCAAACCAACTATATATATTATATAACATATTCTAAGAGAGTGAAAAGACAAATTTGTAAAGTCAGAACAAGCTTACAGAGCATGTGAGGATGGAGTGGTGAGTGGAACAGAGCTGAGCAGTCAGGTTTCCTGAGCACACACACACACACACACACTGCACCTGACAGCACTGGATCTGAGTTTGGACTGAGAGCAGTAAAACTTTAATGTCACCACGGGGCAGTTTGGCTTTTTTTTTATTTTTTTTATTGCTCTTAACATCAGACCACTTCCCACTGTGATGCATCAGCAATAAAGAGCTGAGTCTAACAGATCCTAGTGGATTATGGGTAAATCCAGCTGAAACGTGTCAGTCAAACCCTCGGGTAACGTTGCTCCTGTGTCTCTGGTCTTGATTTTCTAATTAAAGCTCGTTTTGCGCTCATCTGTGACTTTTGTCATTTAATTTTCTCACCAGCAGCGTTTATGTTCTGTATTAAACAAAACCTTGATTTTTTTTTTTTTAACCCTTTGTGCTTGTTGATTGTCTCATCAGTGGAAGCCTACACTGAGTATTCCATATAATTAATTTTGACTGATGTAACATGAAATTAATGAGACATTGTGTATTCTGTTATTTGATTCAGCTGAACTTCCCAATCAGACTCAGGTTTATTGCCAAGTAGGTTTTCACATACAACAAATTAGTTTGGTTCATAACAATAAACATAGAAGAAGAAAAAACATAAAGAAAGATTATGCTAAACCAAGTACTGCAGGTCAAATAACTTAAATATAAATATACAATACAGTGTGTGTGTGTGTGTGTGTGTGTGTGTGTGTGTGTGTGTGTGTGTGTGTGTGTGTGTGTGTGTGTGTGTGTGTGTGGCAGCAGGTACCACACCCTGCGCAGCTCTTTATTTAACAGCTCACTGCGATTGATTCCTTGAGGTATTTAAAACTCATCCACTTACAAAAAAGCCAAAAATATCTTGTTGTGTTTTCTCTTGGACAACACTGCTACACACACTAATCTCTGTAACATTGCATTTCCTGTGGATACTTCACAATAAAAGCTGCATCAGCAGGAAATGTTTTGCATCATGAGTTAAAACAGCTGTATGACACCTGCAGAGAGTGGTCAGTGAACATGGAGGCTTCAGTAACCACGAGACTCCGATGCTGGAGAACACACTGCTCTGTGTGCTGTAAACCCCACATGATTTATTACAACTTTAAAGGAAATAAAAAAATGGAATTCTAGTTGAGTTTCAAAGTTTGACATCAGTCATTTAACAGCAATAACACATTAAAACAGCAAAGACAAGATGAGAAAATTGTCATAGAGGATAAAGAAACGATAAGAATGTACAGTGTGAAGAGCGTTTGTCCTTTTATCAGCTGTTAGCTGTGTCACGACAGCTGGATAAAAGTGTCTAAGCTCAGTATTTTCTGTGTTTTCCTGGTGCAGGTACAGAAAGCTGGCCCTGAGGTGGCACCCCGACAAAAACCCCGAGAACAAGGACGAGGCCGAGAAGAAGTTCAAGGAGCTGTCAGAGGCTTATGAAGTGCTGTCAGATGGTTTGTAGACACCAGCAGAAACTCTGCACAGTGCTTAATGGAGTGACGCTAACAGGAGGGTGTGAGAGCAGCAGAGCAGTTCAAATACAACACTCTTTCTTTTTTTTTCCACTTTCTTCCTGCAGCCAACAAGAGGAGCATATATGATCGCTACGGCAAAGAGGGGCTGACAGGGAACAACGGAGGAAGAGGTAAAGGCATCAAACTCACAGGAAACCATTTCTTTGTGTGTGTTTGACTTCTAAGAGAATATGTGTGTCAGACATGACACGACACCACGGGTCACATGACTCATGTCCAGGTGACTCCAGTGAAGCAGCAGAGTCACTGCTCATCTCTCGTTCCACAGTGTTTTTAGTGAAGCACAGACAGCCGTGTTTTCCTGTGTCAGGACATTGTTGTGATTGTCAGCTCTCAGCGGGTTCACTGTGATTCAGACATGACTTGTAAGTAAAGAGTTAGTTAACTTTGGGGCCTAAAATTGACCTGGCTTTGTTCTAACTCACAGTGACTAGTCTAGGTTAAACTTACAGTTAGTTAGTCTAACTACAGACTTGTCTGTCACATCTCAGCAAAGTGATCAGTCCCTTTTGTCAGAGTTCAGTGGTCACATGGTACAATACAGCTGCACAACAGAAGAGCATTACAAAGGCTCTGCACATTCAGTGTGTGTCTGGATCACTTTTGTTAGTTTAACGGCACAAAAGCAGCCGCTGCTCCAGGCTCATGATTCAAAAGTGTTGTACTTATGTTCTTAATTAATCAAAGGAGTGTTTTTGGGCGTAATATGCATAACAATAAACCAGTCAGAGAACCATCTCCCATCCCCTTTTAAAAGCCAGGTGTGCCTGCACCTTGCTGGATTGTTATAACAGTGGGTTTAGCAGGCGGAAAGAGAACCATCTATGGCAACAGCATGCGCAAAATATTAAACTGAGGATGTGTTGCAGCCTCGCTTGACATTTGATAATAAATGCCAAGCTCAAGATTAACGGTGCACAGACTGTGTGGGTGTCTGCATGTGGTTATATGGAGTCTGATGTATGTAGAGGTTGTGTGTGGTTATAGAGCGGCCTGGTGTCCATGTGTTATGGTACTGCGCTCTGGAACAGCCGCACAGTAATGTCAAGATGCACTGTTCAAATCTCAGTGAAATACTGCGACCAACACGCCCATGGGTGCTTCTGGTCCAGGTTCACAGTGTGTGAGTTGACACCTTTTGATTGACATGATGTTTCAGGGAGCCATTTCCACAACGGAGACCATTTCCACGAACAGTTCACATTCCGCAACCCAGAGGACGTCTTCAGGGAATTCTTCGGAGGCAGGGACCCGTTTGCAGACTTGTTTGGTGAGTCGCAGAGTTTTATCGTGAACAAGCTGGAGCATCGCTGAATCAGTTTGAACGCAGCCTGAAGCACGACCTCCGTTCTCCTCTTCCCGTTCTCTCAGGTCCAGATCCTTTCAGCGAGGACCCGTTTTTCGGCAGCGGCCGGCAGCACCAGAGTCGGGCGGGTCGCAGCCGGACGGGCGGCTCGTTCTTCGGAGGCTTTGTTGGTTTCCCTCCCTTCGGGGCTGGATTCTCACCTTTTGACCCAGGTAAGAAAAAGCAGCCGTGGCTTGAACCACCGTCGCCTGTTCCACCGGTTTTAAATGAGACTCTCTCTCTCTCTCTCTCTCTCTCTCCGTCCTCTTCATCTCAGGCTTCGGTTCTTTCGGCTCCATGAACACCATGGGCCACATGGGTCACATGGGTCACATGACAACAATGGGCAGTCTGGGAGGTGGAGGCTTCACCTCTTTCTCCTCCACCTCGTTTGGGGGTGGAGGAGGCGGAGGAGGAGGAGGAGGCGGCGGCATGGGCAACTTCCGCTCTGTGTCCACCTCCACCAAGATCATCAACGGCAGGAAGATCACCACTAAAAGGTAGAGACTGACTGACACATGGTATGAGTACCAGTTTTTTTACATTGTTTTTATTTCAGTTATTGAAAATATTAGACAGACTCCACACTACGTTTTAAAATGAAAAGGACCATCACTGCTGAAAACTCATACACACATGACCGTTCGCATACACTGAGCACGTGTGAGCCGGTGCAAACAGGAAGCAGATTGTGTAAACATAGTCGTGTGGGCGTGGCCTAAGCTTAGTGACTAAGTGGCTCTTTTTGCAACAGTTTCCATGTGTTTAGTCTCAGGACTCTGTGTCTGCCGTTAGTGTGTCAGTGTAGTCAGGTCTAAACCCTCATGTTCCTCCTCTCCTCCCTCTGCCCCCCCAGAATCGTGGAGAACGGCCAGGAGCGGGTGGAGGTGGAGGAGGACGGGCAGCTGCGGTCACTAACCATCAACGGTAAGGAGCAGCTGCTGCGACTGGAACACAAGTGACGAGCTGGACGTCGTCTGCTGGAGAAGTGTTACCTCAGCACAAACAGACCAACAAACTTGAGCTTGAAACAGGAGGAAAAAAAAAAAAAAGCAACAAAGCGATGTAATGATAGTGCTCTACTATTGTCTGGATGTACATATTTAGGTTGTGTTTATCCCCCTCATGTTCTCTCCCTGCTGTTAACCATCGAGTCCCGTCAGAGGATCTGGACGCAGACTTTTCTATGCATTTTGTTCCTGTACTTCTGAATTGGAGCTGTCGTTATATTTTGGCTCAGGGTGGTGTTATTGTTTCAGTGTTTGGGACCACAGTATTGTTCTGATGTATATGACCAGACCCCCTCTTCTTCTTCTTCTTCTTCTTCTTCTTCTTCCTCCTGTACTTCCTGTTTGCACTCCACTGTGTCAGTGTGTGTGTCAGCTGCACACACACACTGTTCAGAAAACAAAACATGACTTTTGTTCATTTGATTTTACAAAGTGGATCAGAAAAACTGAAGCATCATCCCCGTCTCTGTTTACTGCTTGTCTAACCTCTTCTTAGTAATAATTCTTTTTTTTTTTATTAAAAAATACGATGCTGGTAGGATGAGTTATGCAATTTTATATGTTCTAATACCATTGTGTTTCTCTTTATTTAATTATGCATGTACACCTGTTGATGTTGAGTCTTAATGTTAAAGCTGCATTATGATGCACAGATAATGGAAGGCATTCTATAAATGATATATGGATAGAGAAGGAATTTTGTGTACTTTGTAAACCAATAAATCTGAGCTTCATCCTGTTTTCAGGATGCTGAAGTCTTGGTTGCTCCGTTAGTCTTGTCCAACCTTCAGGTATCATTTTCGTCATGTAGATTTCACTTTGTCACATTTATTAGAAATGTCTATTGAATCTAAGCTTGGGACGATATTTGATAATATTCATATCAGGATACTTCCTGCCATATGCAGGATGTTTCTATAATATCAAACAGTCTGTCCTGCTGCAGAGTTTAACCCTCATTTCACTGCTTTTCTCACTGTACATTGTATCATGTCATGTGACAAATAAAACTTTGAACTGCTGTTTAGTGGCAGCATCACTTATACAGGGTTCTTGCAAATCCTTAAAAAGTCTTAAAGCTCCATATTTCCCTCTTCTGTGTTTTATTTGAAGTGTTGATCCATTAGAAGATATATTTGTGGATTTAAGAACCAAAAACCATCTCAGTGTAGTTTTACATCTCCTCTCTCAGGCTTCTCTCTGGAGGAGGCTCTGAGCCTCTCTTCTGATTGGCTGACTGTTTTCTGAGTGATCCAATAAAAATATAGCAGATTTCAGGTAACAGAAACCAAATCCTGCAAGGTTGGATCAGAGATCCTCTATACAGAAGATACCGCATTACAGGCAGCGCCAGTGGTATGAAATGGGACACAGTTCCGGTCTCCTAAGTGGGCGTTGTCCCTCAGCCCCTCCCTCAGGCCAAGGCAACTGGCATGAAATGTGACAGTAGCTAATATTAAAATCTCTCCCTGTCTAGACTTACCTCTCTGCATCCTTTGGGAAAGAAAAGAAAAGACAGATCTGTTTTTCTTGTTATTACAGCCTGTTGCTGCACAAAGCTCGGGCATATTAACATATATTACATATATAACATATATTAACACTAACTGACAAATTTGTGCCTTTTTGCTGCTTTTTTTAAAATCTACTAACGACATCCGATCAACCCAATACAAAGTCATATCAGTTTAATAGGCTAATACTCTTTGTTTTAGATACAACAATACAAATTGTTAAGCAATGAAACAAGTTTTATTTAAGTTTTAAAGTTTAATCCATGGTTTCACGTATAAGCAAGTCAATCCCAGAATAACTCTGGTCCATCTAAACATCTGGTTATCTGTTGGCAAACGATGTCGGCAGTTGACAGATCTCATGAGAGTACGGCGCTGAGACAGAGGCAGGTCTCCAATAAAGTTCATTCTCTCCGGATCTGTTCGTCTGAAAAATGTCTTTCTGATGTCAGAATGTTCTGAAGACGTGTGGCTTGTGAAAGATGGATCCGATATTTATTTCAGTGCCTATGGAGCAGAAGTCCTGACGGCTGGTTTTAAGGCTCAGTTTCTGAATACAGGCTGTGTGCATTTCTCTGTGGACTGAGGCTTTGATACTTTCACAGTATTAATATAGAACCTAGACCTGATCTATAATCAAACAACACTTGCACAGAGACCTTTACACTATATGGACCTTTAAAAGGCATTGAATTCATTAAATCTAAAAATACCAATCCTCAGTCAGTCTTTCAAAAGTCTTAAACGTGAATGCGGGAGAAGTAGGGTTCATTTCTGACATCCCAATTTAAAATCTCAAAATAATTTCATATGAATATTTTTTTTAAATAGTTTACAGAATACCTCTCACATTAACGTTACAGGATAGCAGGATACACCCATGATACGACTGAACCAACTACATTCATTATGTTTGTGTGAGGAATGCTAAGAGCAGATTTACTGTCTGCTAGCCACTCTACTAGTCTACCATAGCCACCTCTTATCATTCTGCTCTAGGAGAGAAACACTCTGGCTTGTTCGCATTTGTGAACGGTCGCAGTCACTTGTGAACTTGTGTACTTATATAGCACTTTTCTAGTCTTACTGACCACTGAAAGCGCTTTACAATACTTGCCTTCACACATTCATACGCACACTCACACACAGCCATCACGGGCAATGCGGGGGTTCAGTATCCTCTAATTTATTGGACGACCAGCTCTACCTCCTGAGCCACAGCCGCCCCCTCGTGCAACACTGAGCCACTGCAGCATAGTGTCAGAGGGGAACTTCATTTGCATGTGTGGAGGTGAGCACTGTCATTAAAACAGCTGATTCCCCGCCAAGAAAACACCACAAAAAACAGCAAAGACGTCCAATACCAGGCAAACGCTTGGACACGCCTACCCATTCATGGGTTTTGCTTTATTTTGACAATTTTTTTTTTACATCGAACAACTGAAGACATCAGAACTATCAAATAACATGTTTCATAATTTAGATTCTTCAAAAGTAGCCACCATTTACCTTGATGACAGCTTTGGCACAATATTGTCATTATCTTAACGAGCTTCATGAGGTCGTGGCCTGGAATGCTTGTCAATTCACAGGTGTGCCTCGTTAAAAGTTATTTTCTCGCCTTGATTGAGACCATCATTTGTGTTGTGCCGTGGTGTTGTGGGTAAACATGACCGACAGTGCAGGAGTTGTCTGTGATCGGTTTCTCTCCTGTGATGGACACTCTGTGTGGTCTGTCCACTGAGAGGGTTTGGGATGAGTTGAACCACAGAGCGAAAGAAAAGCGGCCAACAAGTGCTCAGCATACATGAACTCCTTCAAGACTGTTCCAGGTGAGGCCTTCACTAACCTGGTGGAGAGAGTGCCAAGAGTGTGCAAACAAGGCTACATGGAAGAATTAAAATCTAGAACATTTTGCTTTGTAAACTACTACTGTTACTACTATAGTGTTGATGGCTTCAGCATTGTTCTACAATGTAGGGAATAATACAAAATAAGGAGAAACCATTGAATTGGAAGGTGTATCGACTGTGTAACTGCACATGATCAAACCTTCATCAAAAGTTGCCATTTTCAGTGTGTCGGAGGTGTCTGAGGTTTGTTGTTGTTTCCCGCGTCTGTGTTGTTGGTTCAGAAACACTCTGACAGCTCAGTCGTGTTGTGAGCTACAGACTCTCAGACTTGGCCGCCGACTCCTCCGCCACTTGGCTCTGTGAGAGTTCGTCCACTTAGTCTGAACGCAGAGTGAGGGGAAACACAGAGTGAGCAGTAAAATATTCTTAATGCCCTAATTAAATGTGTCATCACAGCTCAGGTGTGTTTTAACACCGACATCATCTCGTGTCTGATCAGCAGCCCGCTGACGTTCAGCCAGCAGTACGACTGTTCTGTCCAACACAGACTGATGTCACAGCCGCAGCGTAAACGCCATTTTTAAACCAGGTTTGAGGCATGATCGTGTGTGTTTGTTTGTGTGTGTTTGTTTGTGTGTGTGTGTGTGTGTGTGTGTGTGTGTGTGTGTGTCAGTCAGCCAGTCTCTCCCTCTGTCCCCTGGCTTCCACCCTGTTTTTGCTTTTTTTGGGTTTTGTCCTTAGATTCAATTCCTTCTCAGTCACGTGCAACAAAGTGATTTTTAGTAATAACTCATGTGCTCCTCCCTCCTTTGTCCAGCCTTCAGCTGGGTTGTGACAAGGAGCAGAACCAGGTGTGGTGAACTGATTTTCTGTCTAAGCACATCACAAAAACTTCAAGTCATCTGTGCACAACAGAAATACAATTTCACATGATCAGCTTCACATTATCAGTCGATATTGATCTCATCCAGATACTGCAGTGAAGTTGTCTGGTGGAGTTCAGTGTTGTCATGGGAATTTCAGGAAACAGAGGACTGACAACAGGAAAGTGGTTTTTCCAGTTTATTCTGACACTTGCAAGTGGACGCTTCAGCCAACAACAAGAGTGTTACTGACCAAGAGCGCAATGCATGTTTACTACAGACTGCTTTTATACACTCAATTGTCACGACACCTGTAGTACATATGTCGTCACTCATGACATGACCACCTTGTATGGCACGAAGCCAAGTTAAAAGTTGACATGAACAGAAAAATGTGAATGCACATACAGCAGTGTGGGCGTAACATATTCTGTGGGCGTAACATATATAGAGTTTTATGATAGTATGAGGAATGTGCTGTATTTTCCTAATACAAGTGTACTGCAGCATTTCACCACCAGAACTGAGAACCAAGGTTATTATCACTGACTATAAGGAAATAATAAAAACTAGATGTGAAAAAAACATTTTCATTAATTAAAAATAAAAACAAAAGCCTGGTTGAGTGAACAAAAAAAACAAAAAAACAAACTAAAGCTAACACTGAAACAAATAAAAACTAAACTAAAACTAACCAACCAGCTTTAAAAACTAAATAAAACTAAACTTTTGAAAAAACTATTTTAACCTTGCTGAGGACTGTAAGATAAAATTCACACATCTAAATATAATTTTTCTAAATGATGTAGATGCCATCATGTCTGAACTGATACTGTTCATGTAATAAAGATATTTTTCTGGCTCCCTCCCTCCTGTATCTGCGAATGCTGCAGTATACAGCCTGACCACTGGGAGGCAGAAGACTGTAGAGCAGAGGGCGGCAGTGTGACGTCACAGTCAGACACATTTACCTGTTCTCCACCTGCGCTCAGGATGAGGGAGCGAGGAGACCCGCTGATCCATCATGGATCTACAACATGTCTGAATGTGATCATAAATTCGTAATCAATAAATCAGTAACCGTAACAGTACAGTTGTACTGGTCAGGTGAGCACTGGTCCAGTTCAAGCACATGAGCTAAGTTTCTTACAGCTCCACATTTAGAGAGGACCAATGATGACATCATTTTCTAAAATGTATTCATTCTTTTTAATTAATGCATTTAACATAAATAAATGCATATATACATACATACAAATAACTGATGATTTTTTTGTATGTGTATGAATGTGTATGTGTGGGTGTACATTTGTACTTGTAGCATCTCAGCCTTCCCTCAGGCGGGTGGGGCCTGGAGAGAGGGGCGGAGCTGAGTGGCTGACTGTCATTGGCTAAGAAATTTGTCAATCAAGACAAATATGACAGTCTTTTTTTTTGATCAGTGCAGGTCTAGGTTCAACTGTTCTTCAGTATGAGACACATGTTCCAACAAAGTAAAAGAAACTAAGCAAAATGTATAGAAGAAAAGAAACTGGAGACTGATGATACAGTTTACAGCTACATGAGTGAAATGTGATGATTTCTGCTCTGACTCTAAAGAAAAGAAAAGAAAAGAAAAGAAAAGAAAAGAAAGGAAAGGAAAAGAAAAGAAAAGAAAAGAAAAGAAAAGAAAAGAGGAGCATGTGACTGAGTAGGAGGAGGAGGAGGCCAGCAGGAGTTCAGGTGGAAACAAGCTGTTGATCTGGAGCTGTCCTTGGTGCTGCGACTCAATCCAATTACCTCCCTCCTGCGCTCCCCCCTCCCCCTCCTCCCTCTTTCGCTCTCCCTCATCCCTTTATTCTCTCCTCCGCGGGGCCGTATCTCTCCGGGCCAGCCGGTTCACACTCCTCTCTCTGTACCTGCTGTGTTTCTCCTCATGGCGCTCCCGCGGACTCTTCCCCGGGACGTTCCCGCTCCTGCTCTCATTCTTTTCGGCTAAGATGCGGATCTCCAGCGGTCTGGGTGCAGTGCTCTCGGGGGGCTTCGTGATTCAACAGCGGCCGGAGGGAAGGCGAAGCAGCTGGGATAACTAACTGGGTGCTATGGTGGGACCTCCCGGACCGGCAAGAGTTGGGCTTTTCCGGACTAAAGCAACGGTTTCCACAGAGGTAGGTGGGCTCATCATAGGTTTAAACCGTGACCTCAGCTGCTGGAGGAAAGTGGTCTGTCCTGGTCCAGGTTTACTTTCTGTCCACATTAAACTTCCTCTCAGATGAAGTCTCATTAATCTCTTGATAACGAGTCCGAAATAAAAGCTCTGCCTCTGGAGCCCTGGTCCAGGATTCTACTTGACTCTGGTCTGGTTTGATAAATAAGATGTCACCTGTTACTGTTAATTATTAGTGACAATTAAGTGAATCTTGGTTTAATGAAATGAAGATATAAACCGTGCAGTCAGTTTATTAGGATAAAAGTTGATGTTAATAGTGATTTATTTTTGGGACTGATGGTCTGGATAAGACTGATTTTTAGTAGTGACGTAGCAGCTTGGTTCCTGACTTAGCCATGTGTCCTATGAGTGTCCCAGAAGGAGATAGACAGTCTATAATTAACTAAGGCAGACTTGAGCCAGGGGAGACGAAGCCTAATGCCACTACTGGGATTTGTGGAACTCCATTACACAATCAGATAAAGGCCCCGCAGTCAGAGGACTTCAAATGGCAACATAAGCCTTTATAGACCAACAGGAGAAGGGCTTCCCAGAAGAAATGCAGTTTGATTTCATTCATTCTCTGGACTGGATTAAAACTGCTTTTCATTACATAAGAACACCTGCTGAAAGACGTTTTGTTATTCACTGATTTACGTCAGTGATTCTCTCCAGCTAAAAAGAACAGGATTTCCAGTGTCTAACTGGACTGTCTGGTATCTTCAGTATTTTCAATATTACAGTTATGGTTCCGACATAAACAGCTGCTCAGATTTGCTGTTTTGATTTGGTGTGAAACTCTGCTGCCGTTCACTGAACCAACATCAGCTACTGTCTGAATTCTCATGGGAAACGTCTCATATGGAAAAACAAGACTCATCTAACAGACTTTTTTTATTGTTATTCATTATAAACACTGTGTTTCCTGTTCCAGCCAACTACACTTTATTTATCACATCTGAATAGTAGAATAAGATGCGCACACCTGACACTGATGATGCCATTTTAGTAGATTAGCAGATTTAGTCCAGTGCCACCCACCTCCTGGCTCCCTTTTAAACATTGAGTAGGCATGACCAGATTAACCTGCCCGAGGGCCCTGGGGAAAAATCAGCTGCTATGCCCCTATTGACCCTTCCCTCCTCCCCCTCTCTCTGCATTAGTAAAGTAAACTAATTCATAAGAATGAAAGCATTTGCAGGTAATTAATGGCATGTGGACATGTGTCACCTACTGGGCAAAGCTTTTATCCAGAACACTAGATCAGTTGTTCTCAAAGTCAGGGGTCCTTGAAGGGGTTCCTGGGGGTCCCCAGCAAAAAGGGGAATAATTTATTTTCATCATAATTCCAGCCATAAGTAATACAGTGACAGAATGTGTGACTATTCTGGTCATGGGTTGAAGCACTTCCTGTAATAAAACTAAAAGCAGGAATCTTATCAGATGGGCCTGTGGTCTAACCTGTGTCAATTTAGTGTCTTGTGAGTAAAGTTTGGGAGCCACTGCTCTAGGTGTCCCTTAAAGCTCCAGGCTTCATGTGTGACAGCTGGTTTGTGCTTATTAAACTGGAAATTTTACTGGGAATATACAGCATTAACTGACATGATCAGTGGCCACTGCTTCATTTAATGGTCTTGAGGTCCTGTCATGTAATGGGGTCATGTGTCATAGTCATAGACTGTAAATAAAGATGGACGTAGCCTCTGTGACGTCACCCACAGGTTTTGAAGCCCAGAGTGAGCTGCTACACCGTCGCCATCTTGGCAGTGTCTGGCTCTGCCCCAAACTTCCAGCTAATCCAAAAATGGTCAAAGAGGTGGGGTGTGTGTTTAGCTGAGACTTTGGTTCATGTTGGTTTGTGGCGAGCATATGCTCACCCACCTGTCACTCAGAGAGGCCACACCCTCAATTGTCCATAACTTTAATCCTTAATAAAATGTAAACAGGTGAGTTATATAAACAGGTGTCATGGAAATTAGCTCTAGAGACCAAAACTGTTTTTGTACCAGGCTGTAAACATGTTTATTTCTGCTGTAAAGTTGGACATTTTAACATGGGAGTCTATGGGGATTGACTCACTGTTGGAGCCAGACTCTAGTGGTCATTAGAGGAACTGCAGTTTGTGGTTCTTCAGTGTTGGCTTCATCTTTCAGCCTCAGAGGCTGATGCAGGGTTACAAACAAGTTCAACATCTACTTGTTCTTAATATAGTAAATGTAGAAGTTTGCATCATTTATTGTTGGGTTGGTGGTGAGATACCCAGTTTGTCATGTCACACAGACTTTCAGCAAAACCAAAAATTGCACAGAGTCTCTTTGGGGGGGGCGGGGCTGAGGTTTCATAGGGGCCCAGCAATCCATTTGTTCCTTGAGGCCCCCAGCAAGGTAATCACAGGTCAAGGTCAGTGTGACCTCACAAATCACTTATTAGCCATTACTCAAGACTTCACAGCAATTATGATAAAATGTCACACAAATGGTTCATATTTTCTATGACTCTGAATAAACAGGGATGTAACCTGAAACTAGTCTCAGTGGAGGAGGCAGATGTTGATCATCTTGAGCATCTTGTGGTCATTTAGGAGAGTGGTATAATTTAATGTGGTCAGACCTGTGTCATGTGTGATGTCTTGTGTTTCCAGCCATGGATCTAACCCAGAGCTTGGTGGTCTGAACACAACCGGGTCAGCTTGGTGGACCTGGGCAACCTTTCCTCGACCAACCACCACCATCATCTCATTGAGCCTCACGAGCTCCACACACTCACACACACGACCACACCCTCGGTTTGACCCTCCCCCACAGCGAGACGGCAGCACACGGAGCAAACATGACAGACAGAGTGACTTTCAGCACACCTAAAGTCAACCCCCGGTCCGCCGCGGGCCCTGTGCTCCCACCTGAGCCGATCGACATCATCCGCATCAAGGCCCGCTCCCGGCGGGTCAGGCTCAACGTCGGTGGTCTCACACATGAAGTCCTGTGGAGAACGCTGGACCGGCTGCCCAGAACCCGTCTGGGGCGGCTAAGAGACTGCAACACGCACGAGTCATTGCTGGAAATTTGTGATGACTACAGCCTCACTGAGAACGAGTACTTCTTCGACCGGCACCCGGTGGCCTTCTCCTCCATCCTCAACTTCTACCGAACCGGGAAGCTACACATGATGGAGGAGATGTGCGCCCTGTCCTTTGGCCAGGAGCTGGACTACTGGGGTATCGATGAAATCTACCTGGAGTCATGCTGCCAGGCGCGGTACCACCAGAAGAAGGAGCAGATGAACGAGGAGCTGAGGAGGGAGGCGGAGACGCTGAGGGAGAATGAGGGGGAGGAGGAGGAGCATGGCTGCTGCCCTGACAAGAGACAGAAGCTCTGGGACCTGCTGGAGAAACCCAGCTCCTCTGTGGCTGCTAAGGTAACATCAGCTGCACACACTCTGCACATGTCGGAGCAGTTCTACTCTAAAGTAGAATTCCATATCAAGTTTAATCTGTGAACCAGTGTCTCTCAGGTCCACTGTGTCTCTGGAGGAGCTCTCTGAAGTCTCCAAAAATCACCCCGCTGATGTCGTAGTGACATCATCAGGGGTATATCAGCTCGAGTGTGGAGTTTGCTATTGAGTTGCATTATGGGGAATATAGCCTCCAGTTTTTTTAAAGCTTGATACATGGCAGGGACTAAAAGTCAAAACATCACAGATTTGAATCATTTTTTTTTCATTATTCATTTTGATAGTAGAAAGGAAACAGGAAATATGAGGAAATATGAGGTGACGTCAGCTGGACTTGAATCAACGGTTATGCACTGACCCAGACCACCAAGACATGACTGCTCTTCTTCTTTAAACTGTGCCGTGTGAGTCCCTAAGTCACTGGAGTGCCCTGTTAAAAACATATCCTGACAGAGGCGAGGTCACAGGAACAACCATGAGTACATGTTCAGTGTAAAGGTCAGTTTCAGAAGACAGGACATTATTCTCACACTATTCTGTTCTTAAAGCATGTTTTCAACTTTTGAATTTAGAAAGTGAGTCCTGTTTCTGAGCTGCACACCTGCCCTGACAGGTTCGTTCTGAACAGGTGGATAATGGTTGGATTAATATGCATAATGGATAAAATTGTGTGGGGTGTAATTCACAGCCACTCTGGAGTGTATGCCAGTGCATTGGCTTATGTACAGTACTTACACACAGTTTTGAGGTATTTGTACTTAACTCCTATATTATAAACTATGATGCATTATTATAAAATGAACAAAAGAATGTTGTTGAAATCAGTTCCACCCTGCCCATCTACACTATTGCATCAAAATGCTGCTGATAATTATCTAACACTCTGAAAGGGTTCATTCTATGGGCCGCCAATTGTAAAGTATAGTGCATACTAAAATGAACAGCAACATTTCGCCATGCACATGTGGCTCCAAATAATGTTGAAAAAAACTAGTCAAAAAAAGTCACTTTTTATCAGATTTGTCAAATTTACTTTTCTTCAAAAAACAATTGAATGTTAATGTTTAATCTAAATGTAAATGTTACATGGTAAATCTAAATCTAAATATGAAATGCTAAATGTGAATGTTTAATATATATCTAAATGTTACATGTAAATGTTAAATCTAAATCAAAATGTTAAATTAAAATGTTGGTGAAGCAAAATATTTAGCTAATATGCAAATTCACACTGCTTGTCAGTGGAGCTACCAAAATAAAAGCTTGATCCAGCGCTATCCACAGTCAGTCCAGGTGTCCAAGGCTGTTGGTCCTAGGATTGTTATCGTATCACTTTTATAAATTTTCAAATTTATTCAGGTGAGAACGTAACTGTTTAGATGAGAACCGTAATAATGCCTTTTTCAGTATTCGCTCTAGCGTTTTTGAAGACGTGAAGATCCACTAGCTGGATCAGATGAATGTGCACCATCCCCCCAGGGGACAAGTGCAGTCTTCTCCACCCTTGAAAGCACGTTTTCATTTTGATTTAGATTTAATATTTACATTTAACATTAACATTACATTTTTTTTAAAGAAAAGTAAATTTCACAAATATTGCTGTAAATGTGGTAAAAAAGTGACTTCACACCACTTTTTTTCTTTTTTTTTACATTATTAGGAGCTAAATGTGGCGAAATGTTGCTGTTAATTTCAGTCTGCACCATGAGCCTGGAATGACTGTGGCTAGCACTGGATCAAGCTTTTATTTTGGTACTTCCGCTGATCAGCAGTGTGAATTTGCTAAATATTTAGTTTCATCAACATTTAGATTGAACATTTACATTTAATATTAACATAAATACGTCATAGCATACGTCAAAGCACCAAGGTTTTATGAGGAAAACATATTTAAAACACACAAAGTCAAACTATGTCTGCATTTCATCGTTTTGCAAAAAGAAAGTATCGTAGCAGCAATGATAAGGGCCCCTTGAATTATTAAAAGTTGGCAATACAACCAGACCTTATGATTTCCCACCAATAGGCAGGATTTTGTTATTTGTTATGAGTTGAACCCACAGTGTAATACTCTGAGTATTAGTATTCAGTTCCAGTCATTCCTTGAAATGAGTCTGAGACACCCACTCAGCTCTGATCTGTTTCCTCCTCATGTTCTGCCTCTGATTAGCAGCTCCATGCAGATCCATGTACAAACAGCAGAGGCCTGTAGAAAGGAGGAGGAGGAGGAGGAGGAGGAGAGATCCCTGCATCCTCTCCTGTGTTGGGCTGTCCTGCAGTCCTCACTAGTGGAAAGGCAGCAAGGGTTTTTATCTGTAAAGGGTTAATTCACACAATTGCAAAACAAACAAAAACAAAATACAAAAGACATTTTCCACTTTCCTGCAGCAGCATTTATCCATGCAGATATCTGTGGCTGAGATTTCTGCCTTCAGCCCAACACAATGGAAGTGAATAGAATTTGTTCTGTGGGCTCACAGTGTCCCTGTTACACTGGATAATCCACACAACACAGTGTGAAGAAGAAACTGTCCCTATAAGAGCTGAATTCTCACTCAGGGGAGCCTCTTCCAAATCCTTCGAAAAAATCTTTTTTCATATCATCTCCTACAAAAGGAACGCAGAGTGTTTTTGTTCCATCCAGATTTCCTTCAGTTTATTTTCCATTTTTTTGGGGGTGGGTTAGAGGATTACTGTGAGGGTAAAGACTTGGTCCACTGATGAAAAGATGACATCTTTTATTCTCTGTATAAATAAGTTTGGATTTCCACTGAGATAATCTGTGTGTTTGTTTGTGTGTCTTTGCAGTGTGTACTCCACGTTCCAAACTGTCTGTCAATGTTTCTCTAAGCTCTGTGTAGTAGTTCACACTGAGAGCTTAAACATGTCGACTGACAGTTCACCACAGTGAGAGCTTACTGTTACTGTCTGCAGCAGAGCAGGCAGCACATAGACAACTACTGAAAACACAACCAGGCAGAGCAGCAGCCCATCACTAATGATGGAGAGGAGAGGAGGAGAGAGGGAGGAGGAGAGGAGAGGAGAGGATAGAGGAGGAGGAGAGGAGAGGAGAGGAGAGGAGAGGAGAGGAGAGGAGAGGATAGGAGAGGAGGGGAGGAGAGGAGAGGATAGGAGAGGAGGAGAGGATAGGAGAGGAGGAGAGGAGAGGAGAGGAGAGGATAGGAGAGGAGGAGAGGAGAGGATAGGGGAGGAGGAGAGGACAGGAGACCTATAGTAAGATGGCACTTGATCAGTTTGAGAGGCAGCAGCAGCAGCTGGTCTCGTTCACATGTAAACATCATGTTGAGGTCAGTGCAGGACGTCATGTGTTCCTCATGTAAAGCGGGTGAAACAGAAGCGGGTGCAGGTCAGTGATGATGTTCGTCCTGTTTGTTTCCTTCATGAGATCACGTGAGTGGGTTTGAAAAATGTCATGTAAAGAAATAAAAACAGTTTAAAGAGGAAAGAAGAGAAATCCCCTGACCCTTCTGTTTCCAGCCGACTGACTGGAGAGCGCTCCAGTCTGAGGGCCCTGTCAGCAGCGTGAGGAGAGGCTGCTCTGAGCTCTGCTTTAATCACAGACATCCACACTGGACCTGATTATCTGTGGAGCTCAGATCTGGACTGAACCGGCTGAATCAACACAAGTAGATCCACAGTTTGAAATCTGTGTGACACAGGTGTGGTCGTACAGGCTGTCTCTGTGGCTGCAGATACATCAGTCAGACGGAAGGAGTTGATTGATTGATTGATTGATTGATTGATTGATTGATTGATTGGGATGGATGGATGGATTTGGGTGTTTGGGTGGGTGAGAATATTTTGCTTGGATTCCACTCCATGTTTATTTGATATCCAGCGTCACTATAAAACCTCATTATCACTTACTTTGAATCAGCTCGTTCTGGTCAGGACAACTTGAATGGTTCTGGTTTCACTGCCAGCTCTGAATGTGACCGTCAGAAATACAACAAGAGCTTTAATGACCCCATGAGTTCATCAAACACTATTGTTAACCGTGCGGTAGACCAAGTATTATCAGTAACCAGGCCAATCTATGAACTGGTGGAATCCAACAGGTAGATCCTTCGAGGCCCAACCTATCCCAAGATTCATTGTGCAGCGGTAATTAAAATAATATGGCAGCAAACAACAGTGACAGAGAGCCTGAAGATTACACTGTTAAATGTAAGTATTGGGTTTCAGCTCAGTTCATCAGCTAACGGTACAACTGTTAAAACCAAGGACCTTAAAACCTCAATTTTATGTGAAAGAAAATTACGCAGTGTCAAGGTTGCGAGGCGACAACACAGCGGTAAGGGCGGGCACAGCTGGTGACGCAAGACGAAACTCCTCCGTAGACCAGATTTTCAGTTCAGTTCGGCCTTCGCAGTCTACGACAGCTACCAAGGACCACGCACTCGTAGACCGAGTCCTCTGAAGGATGGGGGAAGATAGTGCAACATGTCTGATGTCATATGTTGATGACGTGTACTTTGTTTCTCACGATAAAAGTCCGGTTAACAGACGGTTCATCGCTCTATAAATACAGCAGCTCTGGCCGTCACAGGTCCATGTGACTGCTCTGGAACCGTAGTGTCAGCAGGAGGGAAGCTGCTTAGGCCACGCTGCACTCAGACCGGCCGTGTGTCACTCCGTGGCAGCGGTGATGCAGCTCAGCTCTCGACCAATCGGAGCGCCCCTTCCTGTGTGACACGTACAGATCAGTGCTACTGCTGATTAGAACAGAAGCATTACCTGGCCTTTTGGAAAACATGCGCGCGCGCACACACACACACACACACACACACACACACACACACACACACACACACACAGAGTCCAGATGGACAACTATCCATAATAGTTTGGAGTTTTATTGGATAATATGAACATTAAATGTTCCAATAATAGAGATTAGTTTCATACACTTTACATAATCTGTGTAATCTTCTTAGTTTTGG